GAGTAGTAAAACTTGATTCACAAACCATCAATCTATGCAATTTCATTGCATGATGGCCTATGAATCAAAGTGTGCAAGTTCAATTAATATAACGAAACAAGACTCTCAAAACCACCTCCCTATCATGAAAGATCAAGAAAAGTAGTTGACAATGATTGTTGAACCGTTTTCATCACTAATGAGTATGAAACGACTCAAGATGTCTCTGTTGCACAGTAGAACACTTGCACTATTTTTCATATCAAAACCAACTCTGTTCTACTTCAAAAGTACACTGCTAGATTTTGCACAGGTGGCTGGCAGATGGCCTATCAGCCACTGATGACTGGATTGTCCTATTGCAAAAGAGAGCAAACAGAGCATATACAAGGTATTCTCAAGGGTCTGTTTGCACATTTCACCCATCCTTATCATTTGAATAGCTCAAAGGAGTAGTAAAACTTGATTCACAAACCATCAATCTATGCAATTTCATTGCATGATGGCCTATGAATCAAAGTGTGCAAGTTCAATTAATGTAACGAAACAAGACTCTCAAAACCACCTCCCTATCATGAAAGATCAAGGAAAGTAGTTGACAATGAATGTTGAACCGTTTTCATCACTAATGAGTATGAAACGACTCAAGATGTCTCTGTTGCACAGTAGAACACTTGCACTGTTTTCATATCAAAACCAACTCTGTTCTACTTCAAAAGTACACTGCTAGATTTTGCACAGGTGGCTGGCAGATGGCCTATCGGCCACTAATGACTGGATTGTCCTGCTGCAACAGAGAGCAAACAAAGCATAGACAAGGTATTCTCAAGGGTCTGTTTGCACATTTCACCCCTCCTTATCATTTGAATTGCTCAAAGGAGTAGTAAAACTTAATTCACAAACCATCAATCTATGCAATTTCATTGCATGATGGCCTATGAATCAAAGTGTGCAAGTTCAATTAATGTAACGAAACAAGACTCTCAAAACCACCTCCCTATCATGAAAGATCAAGGGAAGTAGTTGACAATGAATGTTGAACCGTTTTCATCACTAATGTGTATGAAACGACTTAAGACATAAGGGTTCAATTAACTTCCAATTGAACCCTAACCAAATTATTATCTTGCACCTTTTTATTCACCAATTTTATTACTCCATTTTAGTTACCTTTCAATTCTTTAATCAATTAAGTCCAAAAGTGAGTTTAAGTCCTCTAATGGAAAGAGGGCTCAAACCAAATGTTGCTTTTGGCATGAAAGAGACATCATACCGTTGGTAATGAACCGCCAAAGGGATTGCATCATTAAGCACGACACCTCAATCTCATGCTTGAACAAACAAATAATTTGAAACGACTTTCAAAGCAAAGAAAAAGCCAAGAAATGAGGGAGGTTGCAGAGGTGATTAAAGGTGAGAACAAGTAAGAAAAACACTAAATAAATGCAATCAACTCAAATAAGGTGGTGTCTAAGGCATAAAACACTAAACTTATGAGGACAATTACACTACAAGTATGCAATATAAAGCTCAAATACAATGAATACTTAAAAAACAATTCTAAAATAATACTAAATAAGTTCTAAAACATGCTGGAATTAAGATAAAAATAGCTAGAATAATAAGTTAAAACATAGATCATGCTAGGCTAGTAAGAAAAACACAAGAAGGGGAGACTAACCCTACCAATTTTGGACTTCAAAACAATATTTTAGCCACTGAAATAACTCTGAAAATCAGTGTTTAAAAGCTCAAAAAAAGATAGTGTAAAGGTGAGAAACACAAGGGTAAAGGCCTTGGGAGCAAGGTGTAAAGAATGGTAAACTATCCCTCAACCCTTATTGGCCTTAAAACCCAAGTTTTAGCCCAAAAATACAGAGTTTATATAGTCCAAAAATAGTTGGAAAACAGTAGGGAAAAAAAGTAAATAAAGCAAGAAGAAAGGCAAAGCTTCATACCTCTTGAAGAGGAGAATCAATTCTAGGCAACAAATCAAGACAAACACATCCTCAAGAGCTCAAACAAGGCTCAAAGGTACTTCAACTCAAAGATGGAGAGATTTGGTTAAGAGTATATAGGCAAAAGTTTGCAAAAACCTAAGAAATTTTAGGAGAGAGAGAATTGTAGAGAGAGAGAGAGAATTTTTGCTCTAAAAATTCCAACCTTAAAAATGGAAGGGGGGGCCTCCTAAATATAGAAAACCATAACTCCCTCAGAAATATCAAGACATACACGTGTAGGAAGGTGCATGCATCTCTGCCAACAGCTGGCAGAAAAATATCTGCAAAACACATTGGTGGCCGGCAACCAATAGAAGGGGCAGACATGCCACAAAAGGTTGCAGGCTTGGAAATCTCTGGTTTTTGTCCAAAAATAAGGCAACAGTGGTGCAAGGTTTGAAAGCTCAAAGCTGTGGCATTCCGCTGAGGATTTCGAGCACCTATCGAGCATATACACTCATCATTGGGTGTGTAAGCGATGACGTCCAAGTCGTAAAGGCGGTCAAAAATAGGGTGTTTACACATATGGATGTAAGCAAGCTGGTTCGGATTTTATCAAGTCTGACATGAATTCGCTCCGTCTATAGACCTAATTAAGTAAGAGCTCTGTTTGGTTAGAGCTTATTTGGTTAAAATAGTTAATAAAGATAAAATGGATTAAAATAATTAATAAGATAAAATGTCACATTCAATTTGTAATCATTTCAAATTGTTTTTTTATAACCATCAAATTAATTGTAAAAAAAATCAACTATTATATCAACCATAACTATTTTAACTTAAAATAATTAAAAAAGTCAAATAGTCAATTAAAATAGTCTATTCCCAAACAGAGCTAAAATAAAGAGGGAATTGGGGTTGCTGCTGCATAGCCCACACAGCAGCAACTGTTGTGCACCGAAATGGGCCCATTTTGAGATCTATTTTGATAATCCGAATCGTTCACATTTTAAAATATATCAAATAGAACATGTCTGCAAAAAATTAAGTTAATCGGATATCGTTTACCTATTTATCCACTCACATTTATATTCATTTTAATACTTTAAATTACAATTATTATTTTTCTTTGTAGATACAAATGTGAGTGGATGAATGAGTAAACGATATCTGATTAACTTGATTTTTTATTAGTATGTTCTACTTAATATATTTTAAAATATAAACGGTTCGAATTATCAAAATAAATCTCGAAATAGGTCCATTTTGACGCACAATAATTACTACGGCGCAACCCTAATTCCAATAACAGCACTGGTAGAAAGCCCGAAAATCTGTGGCTTGAATGGCTCAAAACTGCCAAAACGACGCAAAACGACATCGTTTTGACAGTTTCGAGCCATTTGAGCCACACATTTTGTGGCCCTCAAACATTATTCTTCCAATAAAGAGGATGCCATTTTCATACTTTGCTCTTTGGCTTTAATTGAGTTGTATTAGCGTGTCCGATTGGACGAGATTGATAATTTTGGGATGAAACGAAAATTAATGATAGTTTAGAGAATAAAAGTAAGTTTGTTTATTTATAATTATTTTATTTTTTTTAAACAAAAAATTCAATATTCTGAGAAACCCTAATCGTTCAGAACGCCAACCAGTCTCTCTCTCTCGGCTATCTTGCAGCACCACCACCGTTACACCGGGCACCACTATTGCATCGCCGAGACCACAGCCAATTCAATCTCTCTCTTTTTGCCGGCGGCGGGTGTCCACTGAACTTTCCGGCGAAGACTGGTGATTTTATTGTTCTTGTTTTATTTCTAGTAGTATATCATTCATTCTACGCATCTCCAACCCTTCATCAATTTTTTTTTCATAAAATGGACAAAACTCTGCTCCAACCATTTTATTGAATCGGTGTCAAATCAAGGGAGAGGTAAAAATTTGACGAGATATATATTTTTTCACTAAATCAAGGATGAACCAAATTCTTCACGAAATTCTCGACAATCGTACTCAAATTTGACGAAATTTTATAAAGATTCAAGGATTGGAGATAGTTTTCTTTCATATATATTTAAAAAAAAAAAAAGGGTTAAGACAAGTTAGAATTTTGCAAAAAGATTTGATGGAAAAAAAGAGAGTAAAGATTGGAATCTTTTCATATCAGATCAAACTTTTAACCAATTTTTGTACCCAAATTTGATGAAAAAAATAGAGTAAGGATCGAAGATATGCTCTTAAAAGATCAATTTTTACACGTGTATTGATGTGTTTTACCTATCTAATGTTTATGATTCTCATTTCCAACCCCTCCCCCTATCCCAAAAAATTCATCTTTAATAGTTTCAGCTGTTGCTACTTGCTAGATTATACTTTCACACTATGTGCTTGGTTTGCTTGAAAAATTTACAAGCTTTAGCTCTGCAAAATAAAAATAAAAATTACATTTTTCTTCTTCTTCCGAGGATAAGAGTACATATGGGTTAAAGGGTTTGTTAGTTGGGACTTGGCTGAATAGTGATTGCATCCGTGGGTTGGTCTTTTGGATTTTATATGTATCTAGTCTGACTTAGCTCATCTCCACCCTTCTCTTTCTTGTAATCCGTTCTCCTCCGATTTCACTCTCTTTAAATATATGTACACATAGACACTCAAATACAACTCACATTTGTATGTATTTACAGATCTACATGCCTTACTTTATTGTTCTAGGTCTTTTAGCCAACACTCTTATAAAATTGAGGGTTTTGGAACGCAGTGAGTGCTAAAAGCTAGAAAATTGATGATTAGACATTGTGTCGCTGGTAATACAACGCTTAGTGCCTGGAGGTTACCTTTCACCATTGCATATGACATAAGATTAGCTTGAGACTTGGGTTTTGAGAATTGATTCTGTGATGGGGCATTCATTTTTCCAATGAATGATGTGAGTAATGTTCTCACTCCTTCCAAAGATTTGGGAGGTTGTAGCTACACAAGAGGAATATAAATTTTCATTCTTTACATTTTGAGTGTCTTATTCTTTCATGTACCCAATGGTGCTTCTGACTTATACCTGTTAATTCTTATTGTTTGCAGAGTAACAGTAAAGAAGCTTGAGAGAGGTGGTATGTACATGGACATCAGTGTGCAAGAGGAGGCAACTTTTGAAGGGAAGATGGGAAAGAAGACTAAGAAAAATAAGAAGAATGAGGCTAGTGCTTCAAAAGAGGTGAGTGACTACAATGGAGCAATGCTTAATGGGGTGGAGGATGGTTTTGAACTGAGCAAAGAGGATAAGAGAAGGAAGAAAGACAAGAAGAAAGCTGAAGTTTCTAGCGATGTTGAACTTGATGGTACTCAGAATGAGGATATAGATATAAAGGACATCAGTGTGCAAGAGGAGGCAATTTTTGAAGGGAAGATGGGAAAGAAGACTAAGAAAAATAAGAAGAATGAGGCTAGTGCTTCAAAAGAGGTGAGTGACTACAATGGGGCAATGCTTAATGGGATGGAGGATGGTTTTGAACTGAGCAAAGAGGATAAGAGAAGGAAGAAAGACAAGAAGAAAGCTGAAGTTTCTAGCGATGTTGAACTTGATGGTACTCAGAATGAGGATATAGATATAAAGGACATCAGTGTGCAAGAGGAGGCAATTTTTGAAGGGAAGATGGGAAAGAAGACTAAGAAAAATAAGAAGAATGAGGCTAGTGCTTCAAAAGAGGTGAGTGACTACAATGGGGCAATGCTTAATGGGATGGAGGATGGTTTTGAACTGAGCAAAGAGGATAAGAGAAGGAAGAAAGACAAGAAGAAAGCTGAAGTTTCTAGCGATGTTGAACTTGATGGTACTCAGAATGAGGATATAGATATAAAGGACATCAGTGTGCAAGAGGCGGCAATTTTTGAAGGGAAGATGGGAAAGAAGACTAAGAAAAATAAGAAGAATGAGGCTAGTGCTTCAAAAGAGGTGAGTGACTACAATGGGGCAATGCTTAATGGGATGGAGGATGGTTTTGAACTGAGCAAAGAGGATAAGAGAAGGAAGAAAGACAAGAAGAAAGCTGAAGTTTCTAGCGATGTTGAACTTGATGGTACTCAGAATGAGGATATAGATATAAAGGACATCAGTGTGCAAGAGGCGGCAATTTTTGAAGGGAAGATGGGAAAGAAGACTAAGAAAAATAAGAAGAATGAGGCTAGTGCTTCAAAAGAGGTGAGTGACTACAATGGGGCAATGCTTAATGGGATGGAGGATGGTTTTGAACTGAGCAAAGAGGATAAGAGAAGGAAGAAAGACAAGAAGAAAGCTGAAGTTTCTAGCGATGTTGAACTTGATGGTACTCAGAATGAGGATATAGATATAAAGGACATCAGTGTGCAAGAGGCGGCAATTTTTGAAGGGAAGATGGGAAAGAAGACTAAGAAAAATAAGAAGAATGAGGCTAGTGCTTCAAAAGAGGTGAGTGACTACAATGGGGCAATGCTTAATGGGATGGAGGATGGTTTTGAACTGAGCAAAGAGGATAAGAGAAGGAAGAAAGACAAGAAGAAAGCTGAAGTTTCTAGCGATGTTGAACTTGATGGTACTCAGAATGAGGATATAGATATAAAGGACATCAGTGTGCAAGAGGCGGCAATTTTTGAAGGGAAGATGGGAAAGAAGACTAAGAAAAATAAGAAGAATGAGGCTAGTGCTTCAAAAGAGGTGAGTGACTACAATGGGGCAATGCTTAATGGGATGGAGGATGGTTTTGAACTGAGCAAAGAGGATAAGAGAAGGAAGAAAGACAAGAAGAAAGCTGAAGTTTCTAGCGATGTTGAACTTGATGGTACTCAGAATGAGGATATAGATATAAAGGACATCAGTGTGCAAGAGGCGGCAATTTTTGAAGGGAAGATGGGAAAGAAGACTAAGAAAAATAAGAAGAATGAGGCTAGTGCTTCAAAAGAGGTGAGTGACTACAATGGGGCAATGCTTAATGGGATGGAGGATGGTTTTGAACTGAGCAAAGAGGATAAGAGAAGGAAGAAAGACAAGAAGAAAGCTGAAGTTTCTAGCGATGTTGAACTTGATGGTACTCAGAATGAGGATATAGATATAAAGGACATCAGTGTGCAAGAGGCGGCAATTTTTGAAGGGAAGATGGGAAAGAAGACTAAGAAAAATAAGAAGAATGAGGCTAGTGCTTCAAAAGAGGTGAGTGACTACAATGGGGCAATGCTTAATGGGATGGAGGATGGTTTTGAACTGAGCAAAGAGGATAAGAGAAGGAAGAAAGACAAGAAGAAAGCTGAAGTTTCTAGCGATGTTGAACTTGATGGTACTCAGAATGAGGATATAGATATAAAGGACATCAGTGTGCAAGAGGCGGCAATTTTTGAAGGGAAGATGGGAAAGAAGACTAAGAAAAATAAGAAGAATGAGGCTAGTGCTTCAAAAGAGGTGAGTGACTACAATGGGGCAATGCTTAATGGGATGGAGGATGGTTTTGAACTGAGCAAAGAGGATAAGAGAAGGAAGAAAGACAAGAAGAAAGCTGAAGTTTCTAGCGATGTTGAACTTGATGGTACTCAGAATGAGGATATAGATATAAAGGACATCAGTGTGCAAGAGGCGGCAATTTTTGAAGGGAAGATGGGAAAGAAGACTAAGAAAAATAAGAAGAATGAGGCTAGTGCTTCAAAAGAGGTGAGTGACTACAATGGGGCAATGCTTAATGGGATGGAGGATGGTTTTGAACTGAGCAAAGAGGATAAGAGAAGGAAGAAAGACAAGAAGAAAGCTGAAGTTTCTAGCGATGTTGAACTTGATGGTACTCAGAATGAGGATATAGATATAAAGGACATCAGTGTGCAAGAGGCGGCAATTTTTGAAGGGAAGATGGGAAAGAAGACTAAGAAAAATAAGAAGAATGAGGCTAGTGCTTCAAAAGAGGTGAGTGACTACAATGGGGCAATGCTTAATGGGATGGAGGATGGTTTTGAACTGAGCAAAGAGGATAAGAGAAGGAAGAAAGACAAGAAGAAAGCTGAAGTTTCTAGCGATGTTGAACTTGATGGTACTCAGAATGAGGATATAGATATAAAGGACATCAGTGTGCAAGAGGCGGCAATTTTTGAAGGGAAGATGGGAAAGAAGACTAAGAAAAATAAGAAGAATGAGGCTAGTGCTTCAAAAGAGGTGAGTGACTACAATGGGGCAATGCTTAATGGGATGGAGGATGGTTTTGAACTGAGCAAAGAGGATAAGAGAAGGAAGAAAGACAAGAAGAAAGCTGAAGTTTCTAGCGATGTTGAACTTGATGGTACTCAGAATGAGGATATAGATATAAAGGACATCAGTGTGCAAGAGGCGGCAATTTTTGAAGGGAAGATGGGAAAGAAGACTAAGAAAAATAAGAAGAATGAGGCTAGTGCTTCAAAAGAGGTGAGTGACTACAATGGGGCAATGCTTAATGGGATGGAGGATGGTTTTGAACTGAGCAAAGAGGATAAGAGAAGGAAGAAAGACAAGAAGAAAGCTGAAGTTTCTAGCGATGTTGAACTTGATGGTACTCAGAATGAGGATATAGATATAAAGGACATCAGTGTGCAAGAGGCGGCAATTTTTGAAGGGAAGATGGGAAAGAAGACTAAGAAAAATAAGAAGAATGAGGCTAGTGCTTCAAAAGAGGTGAGTGACTACAATGGGGCAATGCTTAATGGGATGGAGGATGGTTTTGAACTGAGCAAAGAGGATAAGAGAAGGAAGAAAGACAAGAAGAAAGCTGAAGTTTCTAGCGATGTTGAACTTGATGGTACTCAGAATGAGGATATAGATATAAAGGACATCAGTGTGCAAGAGGCGGCAATTTTTGAAGGGAAGATGGGAAAGAAGACTAAGAAAAATAAGAAGAATGAGGCTAGTGCTTCAAAAGAGGTGAGTGACTACAATGGGGCAATGCTTAATGGGATGGAGGATGGTTTTGAACTGAGCAAAGAGGATAAGAGAAGGAAGAAAGACAAGAAGAAAGCTGAAGTTTCTAGCGATGTTGAACTTGATGGTACTCAGAATGAGGATATAGATATAAAGGACATCAGTGTGCAAGAGGCGGCAATTTTTGAAGGGAAGATGGGAAAGAAGACTAAGAAAAATAAGAAGAATGAGGCTAGTGCTTCAAAAGAGGTGAGTGACTACAATGGGGCAATGCTTAATGGGATGGAGGATGGTTTTGAACTGAGCAAAGAGGATAAGAGAAGGAAGAAAGACAAGAAGAAAGCTGAAGTTTCTAGCGATGTTGAACTTGATGGTACTCAGAATGAGGATATAGATATAAAGGACATCAGTGTGCAAGAGGCGGCAATTTTTGAAGGGAAGATGGGAAAGAAGACTAAGAAAAATAAGAAGAATGAGGCTAGTGCTTCAAAAGAGGTGAGTGACTACAATGGGGCAATGCTTAATGGGATGGAGGATGGTTTTGAACTGAGCAAAGAGGATAAGAGAAGGAAGAAAGACAAGAAGAAAGCTGAAGTTTCTAGCGATGTTGAACTTGATGGTACTCAGAATGAGGATATAGATATAAAGGACATCAGTGTGCAAGAGGCGGCAATTTTTGAAGGGAAGATGGGAAAGAAGACTAAGAAAAATAAGAAGAATGAGGCTAGTGCTTCAAAAGAGGTGAGTGACTACAATGGGGCAATGCTTAATGGGATGGAGGATGGTTTTGAACTGAGCAAAGAGGATAAGAGAAGGAAGAAAGACAAGAAGAAAGCTGAAGTTTCTAGCGATGTTGAACTTGATGGTACTCAGAATGAGGATATAGATATAAAGGACATCAGTGTGCAAGAGGCGGCAATTTTTGAAGGGAAGATGGGAAAGAAGACTAAGAAAAATAAGAAGAATGAGGCTAGTGCTTCAAAAGAGGTGAGTGACTACAATGGGGCAATGCTTAATGGGATGGAGGATGGTTTTGAACTGAGCAAAGAGGATAAGAGAAGGAAGAAAGACAAGAAGAAAGCTGAAGTTTCTAGCGATGTTGAACTTGATGGTACTCAGAATGAGGATATAGATATAAAGGACATCAGTGTGCAAGAGGCGGCAATTTTTGAAGGGAAGATGGGAAAGAAGACTAAGAAAAATAAGAAGAATGAGGCTAGTGCTTCAAAAGAGGTGAGTGACTACAATGGGGCAATGCTTAATGGGATGGAGGATGGTTTTGAACTGAGCAAAGAGGATAAGAGAAGGAAGAAAGACAAGAAGAAAGCTGAAGTTTCTAGCGATGTTGAACTTGATGGTACTCAGAATGAGGATATAGATATAAAGGACATCAGTGTGCAAGAGGCGGCAATTTTTGAAGGGAAGATGGGAAAGAAGACTAAGAAAAATAAGAAGAATGAGGCTAGTGCTTCAAAAGAGGTGAGTGACTACAATGGGGCAATGCTTAATGGGATGGAGGATGGTTTTGAACTGAGCAAAGAGGATAAGAGAAGGAAGAAAGACAAGAAGAAAGCTGAAGTTTCTAGCGATGTTGAACTTGATGGTACTCAGAATGAGGATATAGATATAAAGGACATCAGTGTGCAAGAGGCGGCAATTTTTGAAGGGAAGATGGGAAAGAAGACTAAGAAAAATAAGAAGAATGAGGCTAGTGCTTCAAAAGAGGTGAGTGACTACAATGGGGCAATGCTTAATGGGATGGAGGATGGTTTTGAACTGAGCAAAGAGGATAAGAGAAGGAAGAAAGACAAGAAGAAAGCTGAAGTTTCTAGCGATGTTGAACTTGATGGTACTCAGAATGAGGATATAGATATAAAGGACATCAGTGTGCAAGAGGCGGCAATTTTTGAAGGGAAGATGGGAAAGAAGACTAAGAAAAATAAGAAGAATGAGGCTAGTGCTTCAAAAGAGGTGAGTGACTACAATGGGGCAATGCTTAATGGGATGGAGGATGGTTTTGAACTGAGCAAAGAGGATAAGAGAAGGAAGAAAGACAAGAAGAAAGCTGAAGTTTCTAGCGATGTTGAACTTGATGGTACTCAGAATGAGGATATAGATATAAAGGACATCAGTGTGCAAGAGGCGGCAATTTTTGAAGGGAAGATGGGAAAGAAGACTAAGAAAAATAAGAAGAATGAGGCTAGTGCTTCAAAAGAGGTGAGTGACTACAATGGGGCAATGCTTAATGGGATGGAGGATGGTTTTGAACTGAGCAAAGAGGATAAGAGAAGGAAGAAAGACAAGAAGAAAGCTGAAGTTTCTAGCGATGTTGAACTTGATGGTACTCAGAATGAGGATATAGATATAAAGGACATCAGTGTGCAAGAGGCGGCAATTTTTGAAGGGAAGATGGGAAAGAAGACTAAGAAAAATAAGAAGAATGAGGCTAGTGCTTCAAAAGAGGTGAGTGACTACAATGGGGCAATGCTTAATGGGATGGAGGATGGTTTTGAACTGAGCAAAGAGGATAAGAGAAGGAAGAAAGACAAGAAGAAAGCTGAAGTTTCTAGCGATGTTGAACTTGATGGTACTCAGAATGAGGATATAGATATAAAGGACATCAGTGTGCAAGAGGCGGCAATTTTTGAAGGGAAGATGGGAAAGAAGACTAAGAAAAATAAGAAGAATGAGGCTAGTGCTTCAAAAGAGGTGAGTGACTACAATGGGGCAATGCTTAATGGGATGGAGGATGGTTTTGAACTGAGCAAAGAGGATAAGAGAAGGAAGAAAGACAAGAAGAAAGCTGAAGTTTCTAGCGATGTTGAACTTGATGGTACTCAGAATGAGGATATAGATATAAAGGACATCAGTGTGCAAGAGGCGGCAATTTTTGAAGGGAAGATGGGAAAGAAGACTAAGAAAAATAAGAAGAATGAGGCTAGTGCTTCAAAAGAGGTGAGTGACTACAATGGGGCAATGCTTAATGGGATGGAGGATGGTTTTGAACTGAGCAAAGAGGATAAGAGAAGGAAGAAAGACAAGAAGAAAGCTGAAGTTTCTAGCGATGTTGAACTTGATGGTACTCAGAATGAGGATATAGATATAAAGGACATCAGTGTGCAAGAGGCGGCAATTTTTGAAGGGAAGATGGGAAAGAAGACTAAGAAAAATAAGAAGAATGAGGCTAGTGCTTCAAAAGAGGTGAGTGACTACAATGGGGCAATGCTTAATGGGATGGAGGATGGTTTTGAACTGAGCAAAGAGGATAAGAGAAGGAAGAAAGACAAGAAGAAAGCTGAAGTTTCTAGCGATGTTGAACTTGATGGTACTCAGAATGAGGATATAGATATAAAGGACATCAGTGTGCAAGAGGCGGCAATTTTTGAAGGGAAGATGGGAAAGAAGACTAAGAAAAATAAGAAGAATGAGGCTAGTGCTTCAAAAGAGGTGAGTGACTACAATGGGGCAATGCTTAATGGGATGGAGGATGGTTTTGAACTGAGCAAAGAGGATAAGAGAAGGAAGAAAGACAAGAAGAAAGCTGAAGTTTCTAGCGATGTTGAACTTGATGGTACTCAGAATGAGGATATAGATATAAAGGACATCAGTGTGCAAGAGGCGGCAATTTTTGAAGGGAAGATGGGAAAGAAGACTAAGAAAAATAAGAAGAATGAGGCTAGTGCTTCAAAAGAGGTGAGTGACTACAATGGGGCAATGCTTAATGGGATGGAGGATGGTTTTGAACTGAGCAAAGAGGATAAGAGAAGGAAGAAAGACAAGAAGAAAGCTGAAGTTTCTAGCGATGTTGAACTTGATGGTACTCAGAATGAGGATATAGATATAAAGGACATCAGTGTGCAAGAGGCGGCAATTTTTGAAGGGAAGATGGGAAAGAAGACTAAGAAAAATAAGAAGAATGAGGCTAGTGCTTCAAAAGAGGTGAGTGACTACAATGGGGCAATGCTTAATGGGATGGAGGATGGTTTTGAACTGAGCAAAGAGGATAAGAGAAGGAAGAAAGACAAGAAGAAAGCTGAAGTTTCTAGCGATGTTGAACTTGATGGTACTCAGAATGAGGATATAGATATAAAGGACATCAGTGTGCAAGAGGCGGCAATTTTTGAAGGGAAGATGGGAAAGAAGACTAAGAAAAATAAGAAGAATGAGGCTAGTGCTTCAAAAGAGGTGAGTGACTACAATGGGGCAATGCTTAATGGGATGGAGGATGGTTTTGAACTGAGCAAAGAGGATAAGAGAAGGAAGAAAGACAAGAAGAAAGCTGAAGTTTCTAGCGATGTTGAACTTGATGGTACTCAGAATGAGGATATAGATATAAAGGACATCAGTGTGCAAGAGGCGGCAATTTTTGAAGGGAAGATGGGAAAGAAGACTAAGAAAAATAAGAAGAATGAGGCTAGTGCTTCAAAAGAGGTGAGTGACTACAATGGGGCAATGCTTAATGGGATGGAGGATGGTTTTGAACTGAGCAAAGAGGATAAGAGAAGGAAGAAAGACAAGAAGAAAGCTGAAGTTTCTAGCGATGTTGAACTTGATGGTACTCAGAATGAGGATATAGATATAAAGGACATCAGTGTGCAAGAGGCGGCAATTTTTGAAGGGAAGATGGGAAAGAAGACTAAGAAAAATAAGAAGAATGAGGCTAGTGCTTCAAAAGAGGTGAGTGACTACAATGGGGCAATGCTTAATGGGATGGAGGATGGTTTTGAACTGAGCAAAGAGGATAAGAGAAGGAAGAAAGACAAGAAGAAAGCTGAAGTTTCTAGCGATGTTGAACTTGATGGTACTCAGAATGAGGATATAGATATAAAGGACATCAGTGTGCAAGAGGCGGCAATTTTTGAAGGGAAGATGGGAAAGAAGACTAAGAAAAATAAGAAGAATGAGGCTAGTGCTTCAAAAGAGGTGAGTGACTACAATGGGGCAATGCTTAATGGGATGGAGGATGGTTTTGAACTGAGCAAAGAGGATAAGAGAAGGAAGAAAGACAAGAAGAAAGCTGAAGTTTCTAGCGATGTTGAACTTGATGGTACTCAGAATGAGGATATAGATATAAAGGACATCAGTGTGCAAGAGGCGGCAATTTTTGAAGGGAAGATGGGAAAGAAGACTAAGAAAAATAAGAAGAATGAGGCTAGTGCTTCAAAAGAGGTGAGTGACTACAATGGGGCAATGCTTAATGGGATGGAGGATGGTTTTGAACTGAGCAAAGAGGATAAGAGAAGGAAGAAAGACAAGAAGAAAGCTGAAGTTTCTAGCGATGTTGAACTTGATGGTACTCAGAATGAGGATATAGATATAAAGGACATCAGTGTGCAAGAGGCGGCAATTTTTGAAGGGAAGATGGGAAAGAAGACTAAGAAAAATAAGAAGAATGAGGCTAGTGCTTCAAAAGAGGTGAGTGACTACAATGGGGCAATGCTTAATGGGATGGAGGATGGTTTTGAACTGAGCAAAGAGGATAAGAGAAGGAAGAAAGACAAGAAGAAAGCTGAAGTTTCTAGCGATGTTGAACTTGATGGTACTCAGAATGAGGATATAGATATAAAGGACATCAGTGTGCAAGAGGCGGCAATTTTTGAAGGGAAGATGGGAAAGAAGACTAAGAAAAATAAGAAGAATGAGGCTAGTGCTTCAAAAGAGGTGAGTGACTACAATGGGGCAATGCTTAATGGGATGGAGGATGGTTTTGAACTGAGCAAAGAGGATAAGAGAAGGAAGAAAGACAAGAAGAAAGCTGAAGTTTCTAGCGATGTTGAACTTGATGGTACTCAGAATGAGGATATAGATATAAAGGACATCAGTGTGCAAGAGGCGGCAATTTTTGAAGGGAAGATGGGAAAGAAGACTAAGAAAAATAAGAAGAATGAGGCTAGTGCTTCAAAAGAGGTGAGTGACTACAATGGGGCAATGCTTAATGGGATGGAGGATGGTTTTGAACTGAGCAAAGAGGATAAGAGAAGGAAGAAAGACAAGAAGAAAGCTGAAGTTTCTAGCGATGTTGAACTTGATGGTACTCAGAATGAGGATATAGATATAAAGGACATCAGTGTGCAAGAGGCGGCAATTTTTGAAGGGAAGATGGGAAAGAAGACTAAGAAAAATAAGAAGAATGAGGCTAGTGCTTCAAAAGAGGTGAGTGACTACAATGGGGCAATGCTTAATGGGATGGAGGATGGTTTTGAACTGAGCAAAGAGGATAAGAGAAGGAAGAAAGACAAGAAGAAAGCTGAAGTTTCTAGCGATGTTGAACTTGATGGTACTCAGAATGAGGATATAGATATAAAGGACATCAGTGTGCAAGAGGCGGCAATTTTTGAAGGGAAGATGGGAAAGAAGACTAAGAAAAATAAGAAGAATGAGGCTAGTGCTTCAAAAGAGGTGAGTGACTACAATGGGGCAATGCTTAATGGGATGGAGGATGGTTTTGAACTGAGCAAAGAGGATAAGAGAAGGAAGAAAGACAAGAAGAAAGCTGAAGTTTCTAGCGATGTTGAACTTGATGGTACTCAGAATGAGGATATAGATATAAAGGACATCAGTGTGCAAGAGGCGGCAATTTTTGAAGGGAAGATGGGAAAGAAGACTAAGAAAAATAAGAAGAATGAGGCTAGTGCTTCAAAAGAGGTGAGTGACTACAATGGGGCAATGCTTAATGGGATGGAGGATGGTTTTGAACTGAGCAAAGAGGATAAGAGAAGGAAGAAAGACAAGAAGAAAGCTGAAGTTTCTAGCGATGTTGAACTTGATGGTACTCAGAATGAGGATATAGATATAAAGGACATCAGTGTGCAAGAGGCGGCAATTTTTGAAGGGAAGATGGGAAAGAAGACTAAGAAAAATAAGAAGAATGAGGCTAGTGCTTCAAAAGAGGTGAGTGACTACAATGGGGCAATGCTTAATGGGATGGAGGATGGTTTTGAACTGAGCAAAGAGGATAAGAGAAGGAAGAAAGACAAGAAGAAAGCTGAAGTTTCTAGCGATGTTGAACTTGATGGTACTCAGAATGAGGATATAGATATAAAGGACATCAGTGTGCAAGAGGCGGCAATTTTTGAAGGGAAGATGGGAAAGAAGACTAAGAAAAATAAGAAGAATGAGGCTAGTGCTTCAAAAGAGGTGAGTGACTACAATGGGGCAATGCTTAATGGGATGGAGGATGGTTTTGAACTGAGCAAAGAGGATAAGAGAAGGAAGAAAGACAAGAAGAAAGCTGAAGTTTCTAGCGATGTTGAACTTGATGGTACTCAGAATGAGGATATAGATATAAAGGACATCAGTGTGCAAGAGGCGGCAATTTTTGAAGGGAAGATGGGAAAGAAGACTAAGAAAAATAAGAAGAATGAGGCTAGTGCTTCAAAAGAGGTGAGTGACTACAATGGGGCAATGCTTAATGGGATGGAGGATGGTTTTGAACTGAGCAAAGAGGATAAGAGAAGGAAGAAAGACAAGAAGAAAGCTGAAGTTTCTAGCGATGTTGAACTTGATGGTACTCAGAATGAGGATATAGATATAAAGGACATCAGTGTGCAAGAGGCGGCAATTTTTGAAGGGAAGATGGGAAAGAAGACTAAGAAAAATAAGAAGAATGAGGCTAGTGCTTCAAAAGAGGTGAGTGACTACAATGGGGCAATGCTTAATGGGATGGAGGATGGTTTTGAACTGAGCAAAGAGGATAAGAGAAGGAAGAAAGACAAGAAGAAAGCTGAAGTTTCTAGCGATGTTGAACTTGATGGTACTCAGAATGAGGATATAGATATAAAGGACATAATGTTTTCATATCAGATCAAACTTTTAACCAATTTTTGTACTCAAATTTGATGAAAAAAATAGAGTAAGGATTGAAGATATGCTCTTAAAAGATCAATTTTTACACGTGTATTGATGTGTTTTACCTATCTAATGTTTATGATTCTCATTTCCAACCCCTCCCCCTATCCCAAAAAATTCATCTTTAATAGTTTCAGCTGTTGCTACTTGCTAGATTATACTTTCACACTTTGTGCTTGGTTTGCTTGAAAAATTTACAAGCTTTAGCTCTGCAAAATAAAAAAAAAAATTACATTTTTCTTCTTCTTCCGAGGATAAGAGTTCATGTAGGTTAAAGGGTTTGTTAGTTGGGACTTGGCTGAATAGTGATTGCTTCCGTGGGTTGGCCTTTTGGATTTTATATGTATCTAGTCTAACTTAGCTCATCTCCACCCTTCTCTTTCTTGTAATCCGTTCTCCTCCGATTTCACTCTCTTTACATATATGTACACATAGACACTCAAATACAACTCACATTTGTATGTATTTACAGATCTACATGCCTTATTTCATCGTTCTAGGTCTTTTAGCCAACACTCTTATAGAATTGAGGGTTTTGGAACGCAATGAGTGCTAAGAGCTAGAAAATTGATGATTAGACATTGTGTCGCTGGTAATACAAGGCTTAGTGCCTGGAGATTACCTTTCACCATTGCATATCACATAAGATTAGCTTCGGACATGGGTTTTGAGAATTGATTCTGTGATGGGGCATTCATTTTTCCAATGAATGATGTGAGTAATGTTCTCACTCCTTCCAAAGATTTGGGAGGTTGTAGCTACACAAGAGGAATATAAATTTTCATTCTTTACATTTTGAGTGTCTTATTCTTTCATGTAGCCAATGGTGCTTCTGACTTATACCTATTAATTCTTATTGTTTGCAGAGTAACAGTGAAGAAGCTTGAGAGATGTGGTATGTACATGGAAATCAGTGTGCAAGAGGAGGCAACTTTTGAAGGGAAGATGGGAAAGAAGACTAAGAAAAATAAGAAGAATGAGGCTAGTGCTTCAAAAGAGGTGATTGACTACAATGGAGCAATGCTTAATGGGGTGGAGGAAGGAAGAAAGACAAGAAGAAAGCTAAAGTTTCTAGCGATGTTGAACTTGATGGTACTCAGAATGAGGATATAGATATAAAGGACATCAGTGTGCAAGAGGCGGCAATTTTTGAAGGGAAGATGGGAAAGAAGACTAAGAAGAAGCAGAAGAGTGAGGCTAGTGCTTCAAAAGAGGTGAGTGACTACAATGGGGCAATGCTTAATGGGGTGGAGAATGGTTTTGAACTGAGCAAAAAGGATAAGAGAAGGAAGAAAGACAAGAAGAAAGCTGAAGTTTCTATCGATGTTGAACTTGATGGTACTCATAATGAGGATATAAATTTGAAGGATTATGCAGAAGTGGATGATAATTATCAGAGAGAAAAGGAGAAGAGGAAGAAGAAAAAGAGAAAATTAAAACCTGGTGAGGATAATGACGAGTCAAATAATGAGATTCACACGGGAGGAGAAGAGAGGAGGTGCTTGCAAATAGATGATGACAAGGATTTAGGGAATGATAGTGAATCTAAATCAAGAAAAGAAAAGAAGAAAAGGCACAAGGAAGATAGAAAGAAAGACAAAAAAGAATCTGTTTCTTCTCCAATGAAAGTCTGTAAAGATAAAAAGACAGAAAAAGATGAGGTAGTCAAGGATCAGAAAAGTTCTCGAAAGGACAATATTGCTGATATGAAGAATGGGGAAGAACAGATTGAAAAGAAGAAGACACACAAAGGGAGAAAAGGCAAGGAAATTATTGATTTCGATGGAAAGAAGAGAAGTACAGCTGCAGAAGATGTTGGGAAAGTGAGGGAGTACTGTGATGTGGATGTTAGTGATAAGGTCGAAACGAAGAAGAGGAAGAGAGAGAAGAAAAAGGGTAAAGATGATTTGGGTGCTGGCATGCAAGAAATGATGGCTGAGGAGTTTGGCAACAAAAGAAGTTTGACTGAAGATAAAGATTTTGGATACAACAATCGGAATCATCATTCAGCTAGAAACAAAATGCAGGAAATAGAGACAAAAAATGGTGACAAAGGTAATAGGAAGAAGCCCAATTCTTTTGAACCAGGTTCTGAAGATCCTAAACCTAAAGCGAAATCTAAGAAAGTTAGGTTTTCTGGTAATATAGAGGTTTTCCCTTCATCTGATGGTCCAAGTAAGGGGAAGGAAAAGAATGAGGATGAGAAATTAGTGCAAGGTAAGCGGTTTTCACCTGAAGAATATGAGATAATTAAAGACGCTGTTTCTAACTATATACGGTATAATGACTTGGGTGAAGATGGCCTGGCCATGGTTTTACGCTGTGGTTCTCACCCAAAAATAAGGCACTGTTGGAAGGACATTAGCACCGTTTTACCTCATAGGCCTCTTAAATCTGTATATTACCGAGCTCATATTTTGTTTGAAAGGGCTGAAAGTCGTTCATGGACTACTGAAGAGCTCGAACTTGTAAGAAAGTATCATGAACAACATGGCCCAAAATGGAGGGAGTTGGCTGATGCACTTGGAAAACATAGATTTCACTTGAAGGATGCATGGTGCAGAATAAAACTACCTAACATAAATAAAGGACATTGGTCCCAGGAGGAGTACCAGAATTTATTTGATTTAGTGAACATGGATTTGAGAATAAAGGCTTATGAGGAAAAGAAGTCAAAGCATGGCATGTTGAGAGATAATATCAGCTGGTGTGCAATTAGTGACAAGTTGTTAACTCGAAGTTATAAAGTCGGCTACGTGAAATGGTACCATCAGTTATCATCATCTATGGTAGCTGAAGGGAATTGGGCCGATACTGATGATTATCGTCTGCTTGATACACTTTTTAGCTTGGATGCGTGTTGCATAGAAGATGTGGATTGAGACTATCTTCTTGACCATAGGTCTGGAGATTTATGTAGGAAGCGCTGGAATCAAATGATCAATCACATAGGTGAACATAAAAACAAGTCATTTGCTGAACAAGTTGAAATTCTCACAAACCGATATAGTCCAGATTTACTCGAGGCAAGAGAGGCCTGGGATAACAAACCCTTTGTTGATTGACGTGATATCATAATTCACAATTAAGTGTCTGATTTGGAATGGCCTGAAGGTAATGTGTACTGTTAGGGACGTGCATGGCATTCTAATGCAAGAAGAGTTGTTGAGAAATCCAATGCTCTGGTGGCCATGTTTTAGGATCTTTGAACAGGCTTGGAGGTGATTTAAGGGTTGATTACAGAGACTGCTATGTAGCTATGCGAAGATTGTTAAGAACATTTGCAGATTCTCAAGGGGCCATGCTGCTCTTTTTAATTTTTTTTTTTAAAAAGTTGTGTTGGCCATGTTGCAGGCTCTTTGAAGTAAATCTTTTGCATTCTTGTATTTCCAGAATGAACAGATGGTTTGAAGGATATCTTTTATTTTATATCTAAATGAGTGTGAGGAAGATGTAGGTAAACCTATATGCATGTTCTGATCTGTGGTGTTTGTTTTGTACGCATTAACATATTTCTCATGTTTGCAATTTTTAGGCATCTTTTTTTTGTGTTTTGTTTTTCTGTTTCAAGTTCTTATGGGTTTTTTTCTTTCTTTAGATTGATCTTACAATTTCTATATTCCTGTCCCAATAATGTTGTTTTCTTACTTAATTCTTTGATTAATATTTTTATTTTTAATAGTAAATTGTAACATTATTTTGTAAGCCAGCAGCTTTGGTAAGATTATGAAGTAAATCTTGTTTTGCTTCAATGTTTAATGAATAATTTTGCAATACCTATTTTCCTCTTCATTGTGATCTCTTCTCCTTGACACGTAAGCAAAATTTTTGGACCAAAAGCTACTCTCATCACAAAGGCTTTCTGAGAATTCTTTAACACTCATGAGGTAGGAAAAGAAAAGAGATGGTTGTAGTTTCTCACCTAATAAAAGAAATGATTGGTTTTTTACCTTTTTATTTAGATGAATGTTGATTAAAAGATGATAAAAGTGGCCTTATATTTTATTTGTTTTGTATTTAGAGGGATAATTTAGGCATTATAATTTTTTTGTAAAGAGTAATTTTAATTTCTCACCAAATCTCATTACTTTTAGTGAGAAATAAAATTTAAAATTTTGTGTGATTTGTGTTTTTTTTTTTTTTTTTTCATTTCTCTTCCTTTATTGTAATTTCTCATCTCATTAATCATTTAAATTAGTAACGAGAAACTTGATTCTCTTCGTTTTCTTTCTTTTCTCGCCAAACCTCTCCATCCAAACATAGTTTAAATGTAGAAGTTAATGATAAGATGATGTGACTTAAATAGAATAGTGACTTTTTGACTTTTTAACTTTTTTAGGTTATGACAAACAAGACCTTAATATACGTTAGATGATCTTTCTGCTTATAAGCTTGACTTTTTAAGTGGCTATGAGTTATAAATAATGTATGTTGAGTGTTGATGTGGCGTTTATGAACTCTAGAGTTTCTCTCGGTTGGAACTAGTGCCAATGGCTAACAATTTATGGGCAAACTCTCCTCGAGCATCGACTCAGTGTTGGAAATCCATTATCAAAATTAATTTTATGGATAGATGTTGGTGCCAATGGCTGACAATATATGGGTAGACTCTCCTCGAGCATCGACTCTTGATGTTGGAGATCCATAATCAAAATTAATGGGGAGTACGTATCTAAGATGAATTTGCAAATAATATATCAAGATCCAAGAGGAGTAAGGAGAAGCAATGGCACAGACTCAAGCTAAGGTCACAACTTAAGCCTTAGCTCATAACAGAGTAACTCAAGTAGCATCAGTTGCAGTCTCAATTTCAAGCACGTGTGTGATTGAGCTGTTAGTTGGCCTCAAAATTGCCACATATTTTACAGATCATAATTGGACTGGTTGCATTGGTATTATAGCCTGTTATACCCCTCTAAAATTTAGCGTTATCCTTAAACTTTTAAGTAGATGTGAGTTACAAATAATATATAAAAGAGATATGCAGGTGCGGAGGAACTATTGGCTGTGGTGTAGGCAGGATATGCAGGTCACGCTGGAGAAAGGCATTAATCAAGGCTTGGTTCTGCTCGGTCAGTCGGTTGATGCTGTTGGTGAGTTCTGCGAAATATGGAGGTGGGTTTTTTGGGTTGGAGGGCTTAGCTTTGGGGTTACCAACGTTGTGTTGGGAAGTCATGGATCTAGTCGTGACTATCTACTCTGATGCAGGGGGTGGATGACTATAGGGTTCCTTCCGACGACAATGATTATAACTGTCGTTTCAAAATGGAATTTCCCACAGACGGCGCCAACTGATGAAGCACTTAATTCCAATGGAAGATGGGTCAATCCGATCCACACTTCTAACGGCTTCGCTGGTCTTGATGCCCACAGAACGTTCTTGCAAAAAAGGTCCAAAAGATGAGGTAATCCCCCAGCGGACCCTCCGACGGTCGAGCTGGAATAGGAGAGATTGACTGTGTAGAGAGAGAAAGAGAAAAAATGAATAACTTAATCTTTAATGCTCATCATTTTCTTGTCCATTTCGGACTGCCGTGTTGGCTGAAAGTCTATATTCTAGCTCGCATCGTTCATGGTGAGTCTATCTCCTCTGACGTGAAGGGATTGTAGTATTTAATGCCGTGAGAGCTTCATTAATGGCTGATGTATGGTGCAATAACTTTGTAGGATCTTTGTCTGCTTACGTGTCTAGGCCTCTGTTTGGCAAGTGTTTGAGTGTTGTTGATCCTAGCCTAGGGTTGATTTCTCAGAATTATTAGGCTTTGATCGCTGGAATGTAGACTGAGCCTTGATCCGTGGGTTGGGCCCTCCTAGATGTCCATCGGTATCACAACCAAACACAGCCTTAATTTAACTCAAAATAGCACACCCACGTCAACATCGTAGGATATAAACTTTCAGCCAATGGTTGAAAAACACCCATGCCATACCATTCCAACTTCATTATTCATTCATCTTAAAACCCAAAGTTAAGTTACCTTTCAAAACCCTAGTTAGTCACAATCTCTCCAAATTCATTTCAATGTCATCTGAACCTCAAATCCCTCCAATGGAACAACAACAACAGCACCAAGAGCAAGAAGAGGGTTCCACTCAGAGCAAGGAAGCCGCCAAGTTAGAGAAGCAGCGCCGCCGTGAGTAAAAATCTACCTCCGGAGCCTCTGCCGCGGACGCCCCTGACCCCCTCGGCGCCAACTACGGTGATGTCCCACTCGAGGACCTCCAGTCGAAGGCCATCTCGGGCCGAAAATGGATCGAGATCGCGAATTTGAACGACCAGAACGTGCTGATTCGGGGGCAAGCTCATGCGATCCGCAGTGTGAGCAAGAAGATGGCGTTTTTGGTTGTTAGAGAGCGGGGATTCACTGTGCAATGCGTGCTCTTTGTTGCTCCGGGCATGGTTAGTCTCCAGATGGTGAAGTTCGCCACTGGGTTGAGCAAAGATTCGTATGTTGATGTCGAAGGGATTATCTCCGTTCCTAAGGATCCCATTATAGGTGCTTCTCAGCAGTAGGTATAATTGCATTTCTGTGTCAATTTTGAGAATGATTTGAGATTATTAATGCATGAGATTGACAATTCTGAATCCACAATTCACCACAATGACATGATAAGTGAGTTGGGCCATTGATGGTTGAGTTTGTGACAAATTAAAAGTTGGATGATGCACAACTTCCCTTAGGGTCCTTAAACCAATTGACATGAAGTTGTCCACATCACGGTGGATAAATTTAAGGGTCTCAAGCTTTTTCGTGACGGAATTTTGGGTTTCGTTTTATAAGTTACAAGTACGGAAAATTACTTGACAATCATGTTTTGATGTCAATGCTTATTGATTCACAGGTGGAAATTCAAGTGAAGACGCTTTACTACATCAGCAAGGCGGTTCCTGCCTTACCTATTAACATTGAGGATGTTGCATGCGGTGAAATTGAAATTGAAAAGGCTTTACAGGTATGTTTGTATATCTTTTCTTACATGTACATGAGATATCTCTTCTTTGGAAAGTTGATAGTGTGCCCACTCATTTGTAGATGAGCTTCCATTAAATTTTGTGTTTTTGTATTATTTGACAAATTTGACTTAGGTACTTACCCTCTAAGGGTCTATGTTAATCTAGTCTCTCAATGGGTGCAGGCTGGAAAATAGCTTGTTCGTGTCAATCAGGATACCCGTTTGAATTTCAGGGTTCATGACCTGCGTACTCCTGCTAACCAAGGAATATTTCGCGTTCAGTGCCAAGTTGAAAATGTAAAATCCGCATCTTGTAGTCTACCTATTTTATTTGTATCCATTCATTTTTTATAAATTATAATGTGCGTGGTTTCTTGGAATACTATACGCCATTGCTTGAAGGAAAGAAAAAGATATATGAAGTCATATTTTCAAAAGTTCTTATATTAGTTATGGTGATTAGGCATGGTGTCAGTTGGTAAAGGGGACGTGGTTGTGTTTTATGTTTGAACCTGTTCTAGAAAAAATGAAATGAAAAATGAGACTGAATATCGTTTGTATTTACTTATGAACGAAAAAAAAAATGGTAGTGTGCCAATCAGTGTAACCAAACATGTGGGTTGTTTGGAATGAAGTTCAATAAATTACCGGGTATATTTGCCAATAGTATTGCCAAGCTGAACGGGGCTTGGTCCTTAATTCAGTTTCACTGTTGTGCAGATATTCAGGCAGTTCTTGCTAGCTGATGGCTTTGTTGGGATTCATACCCCAAAGTTAGATAGGAGGCTCTAGTGAGGGTGGCTCAGTTGTTTTTAAGCTGGACTACAAAGGCCAACCTGCATGTCTGGCACAGTCACCTCAGCTTCACAAGCAACTGGCAATTTGTGGTGATTTTGGTTGAGTTTTTGAAATAGGTCCTGTTTTCAGAGCAGAGGACTCCCACACGCACAGACACTTATGTGAGTTTACAGGTCTTGATGTTGAAATGGAAATTAAGGAGCACTACTCCGAGGTAAAGTTGAATTGTTCACTTCTTGAAGTGCCAAGACTACCAACTAGTAATGCAATTGTCTCTGTGGTAGTAAGATGCTCTAGCTTCTTTTTACAGGTG